TTTGTGCCATAGTCGTGCCTGTAGGATTGTCTGATAGTCCGGATGCACTTTGAACTTGACAATGGGCATATAGCCTACACAGCGCCAAGCTCGTAACGTTGCCTTAGAGCGAACTTCGGAGTCGATATTGCCGATGGTGATGAAGACCGGATGCATCTCGAGCCCACCGGTGACTCGTGTTACAGGAGTTTTATCGGAACCTAATATGATTGGGACTTGAGTTGCGCCCATAGGAAGATGATCCTAGAAAATCCATCAAATTACGACCAGTAGACTGACAGCAAATATACCTGAATTTTCCATGCCATGTCAGCGCTCATATAATCTCCATATTCGCGCTGATCTCCAGCTTGGACGACATGTGGGTCAAATGTCATATGATTAGCAAAAGTTGGATCGCTGAAAAGTTGCTTGACCACATCTAACACATCGCGCCAAATGAGCTCTATAGGCTGAGATGTCTTGTAACCGGTGAATGCGATTTGAGAGACTTTCCACTCCGTGAAGCAGGGTAGCGTATCCATCCAGCCTATGAGTTGATCCTTCGAAGTGAAAGATGGTCTTTCACGAGTGTCAAACTGTGGGCATAGGATCAGACTTGAAGGTAGGAGCTTAAGTTCACGGTTACCCATGTCAGCTTCAAGAACTTGGCGATCTGAGTTTGAGTAAGATTTTCGACCAAGAACTTCCCCAATTGCCATTCGGCTTCGTCATGAAAAGGGTAGTAAGTGTTTTCCTTACGCCGATATGCATACTCATCGTCTTCCAGCTTATCGAGCATGTTTTTGCCAGTTCCAAAAATGTATCCAGAGTGTGGATGACAACGACCAATAGCGGGTATATAGCCAGTCGGATGGTTACCTTGACGAAATGCAGGAGGGAGAGGCAATTCTTGTGGACGTGCATCGGATGGCCAGCAAGTAGACTGAGAATTGAGATGGGCTGTGATTAATTCAATCGTTGGAAAGGCTCCTTGACAGTTGGGACAAAGCCTGTCAAAGTATGAAGGTATGTCTGTTCGTTGAGCAAAAATTGTACGCACATTGTAAGCTTTGCTTTGCGGTATAAAGTTGTATACACTCTGGCAGCACACTGCAAATAATCTTCAAGTCTTTGAAACTCCGCTGACCTGCGCATTTGCTCAGAATCATTAGCAAAGTACTCAGTAATACTCGACTTCTGGATGATGAATACATCCTCTCCTCCATGCTCCCCCCCTCGATCAAGCAGTCCCTCTAATTCTAGCGGAGCTTCTAGCGGTGGAACTCTTGTCGAATCATCAACATATGACCTCGCCAAATATAAAGGCTTATCATCATCCGGAATTCACGTTCTGTCCAAGCAGATAAACTCAGACAAATCCCCCGAATCGATGATCTCTGTGCTTTCTCCAACTGGGTCACACCGTTCTCTCCCCTTTATGGATGAAGTGCCGAGCCCTCCAGATGGCAAAGAGAGCCTATTCTTTAGGCATTCTGATACTCCACCTCCAGGTGCTTCCCCTCGTGCACAGTACCTGCGGGAACGAATGTCCAGGAAACATCAGCCATACCCTCTCCACCCAGCTCCACTAGAGCTTCGGTTTGCAGCTCGTGTAACAGGGAGGGTACGCCAACCAGAATTCACTCCCGAAGAAACTGAACAGGTATTTTTTCTTACAATCGTTCATTCATTCTCATGTTAATTATTGCAAGAATGAACAACTAGCGGAGAGAGGCTTGTCACAATTGAGCCTCGCAACTCTGTACAAGGCATACAAAGCGAAGCTGGCTTCCCGTGAGACTGCGTGCCAACGTCTGTTGATGACAACATGGGAGATTGAAGAGGCCGAGCGCTATACAGCATTCCTTGAAGCACTCCATGTCGAGAGTAAACGGTTCCTGGGGTTAGAGGATGCCAAGTTGGAGAAAATGAGAGAGTGGTTTTCTTCCCGTAACCTGACAGAAGTTGCAGACGATACCAACTACCTTCAAGCTGTCTACGATGACGAATGCGAGATCCTCCGATCTCTATCTACTCAGGCACGACAAGTCTCAAAGATCTTAGGAAAATGTTCCGATGATATATTCTCGGCATCCACAAGTGAATCTACCAGCAAATCGCCCTTAAACATGCTCTCGGTCGTAGAAGATGAGGATGATTTAGATGATTTCTCGGACCTCGAGGCCTGATAAGATCTCCAAACGTGGTATGTACATGCGCATGTGACGGCTGATCTCCCGCGCTGATTTCATATCTAGTAGATAGCCCTGCTTCTTTGCCGTTTCGCTGTTTCATCAATTTTTCCCGTCACTTATGATCTTTCGTTTTGTACAGCTTGTACAGTTTGTATGTGTTATTACCTGCATACCAGAATCAAAGTGCCCGTTACATCGATAACCGATGACTTGATTGTTTCCTTCCCCTACTACAATCGTATCTGACTTGCTCGTTCCCCTCTACTAATTCTGCTCGCCAAATGCAAGGTACTGGACGCGGTACCAATACCAAGCGCAAAAGCAAGGCTACCGTCCCAAAACCATCTCGGGGATCAGGGCTTAATCCGTCGGGACAGCCAGCCAACGATCAGCTCAACATTCCCTCAGAACGACTACGAATGCCCGACAATATGTTCGATCCGTATGATCGAGGTGGAGGTGGGCAAGGGAGCCATTGTGAGTGAATTATGAAACTGCGGACTCTCGATGCTGACGAAGACACGCCCGACACTTAAGCTGGTTCGATACCGCCACACTTTACCCTTGGGGACGACGGCAACTTTGACATAGACGCATTGTATGGTCAGGCTGGTAGGTCGCCGATCACACTCAATGATGCCTCAATGCTAACAGCATCAATTCCAGGTAGACAGACGCTGACAGACGCTTTGAGGTCAGATCCCTACACAGATGCAGACCTGCCCATGTCGCGATGGACTGGGCATGCGCCAGATCGCGGAGTACATCTAGTGCCGGCATACAAGCCAACTGATCTAACAACAATGCAGAGAGGTGAGATACCTTCATCCGATGTAGTGCATGTGAGTATCGATTCATTTGTTGGATGCACCCTGCTGACGCATTTGACTCTAGACTACAGGGCCTGCAAGGACCGTACGACGTGTGACCCGGCAGGTGTCAATGCCCTCAACACCATATGCGGTTCCACGAACTCTGGTGAGTTCTGATGCGCAAAGCCCTGTCGCCATCGAAGTGCGCGCTGGGCCTTCTGTGATGGAGTTGTCGTCGTCGTCACAGCCTCAAGACATTACGCCTACAAAAGAGGTCCGTCAACAAATCATATGCAAGGCGAAACATGGGGTTGTTGGTTGGCTTTTCACGAAGTATGCGATGTCGCAAACTGCAGCAGATCGGAAACGCCTCATCAAGAAAGCCATTTTAGATGCAGTCCCAAGAATTTTCTCGTCGACCGGTGAGTTTTTTTATTAGATTCATCCATTACATGCTGCTAACAGGCTTTATAGTTTCATTCAATTCCCTAGTCACTAAAGAACAATATCGTTCTGTATCCCAAGCACTTACAAATGCACGCGGCAAAATTATCGACATTGCTCGCAGCAGTGTACCTCATGCGTACGAGCTATACCGCCCGAGTGGATATACGGAACGGACACCAACTCAATACCGGGTGCATATAGCTACGACACTTACCCGTACAGGCTCGTTGACGGTCATGCACTCGCATCATTTTGATCCGGTATGCGCATTCATTTTCGGTGCAACAAAATGTCTAATTTTCAATTAGGATGGTAACATACATGTTCACAGTCATTTCGACCATTCGTTCATCAAGCACGTCGTGATCCGGTTCATTTGGTATCTTCGACACGAAACCTTCCTTGGCGAATCCCCCCTCACGAAGATCAACTACATCATCGCGATTGCCGTAGCGGCTGTTTACTGTGTACTGCAGGAACAACGGATGCCGATGCCATCCATTGATCCCTTCACAGGTCTGGTCCATTACAACAAATTCGTTGAGGTCATCGCCGTCCTCGATGGTCTTGATGGAGAAGATAAAAAGGCGCTGGAAAGTTTTAAGCTTGATATGCTCGAAGTTGGACCATCGCAGATGCGCACTAATATTGAGGCTGATGATGATGATGATTTACTATACGAGTAGATAACATAGATCAATACAATGATTGTTTTCGATAATCTTGATAACGCATCTTTGCATAAATTGCCTGATATTACCGGCTCAGGGTGTAATATAACTAAAAGTATGCTTTACGAACGCAAACCTGAGCTAGTCCAAAAATGAAATGCTCAAAAGCACTTTAGAGCGAGCGTCGACCAACTCGGCTTTTTAGATGCATGACATGGGTTGTGCCAATTGCAAAGTTCTTGTCCGTTTCGCACGATGAAAAGGTGTTGGAGCGGGTGAAGCGAGGACGCTTGATGCTGACTACAACACCATTAGTAACGCGTCCGATAGGAACAGCCTATGCCTTATTTTAAACACACAACCACGTCACAAGGATCCCGAGGCTGCCTTCTTTCTTCAACAACTACCGGGTGACTCGAGTAATGCAACGAAATTCCTGTGTCGAATCCAAAACAGTCAGCTGCTTCTTTGATTCATACCACGCCACTACTACTGCATGCGAGACGGTACCGAAAGAACAATTAGATGCGAGTCGTCCCAAGCACACGTCTGGCATCGTCTCTGTAAGGGGAATAGTCACTGGGTCCGAGGCGCACAGAGACTGAGCCGCGTTGGTTCAAGTTGCCACAGCAAATATATCTAGTAAGTACTATCATGATCGTGGTTTGACTATATTCAAGTTATCCATCAGTTGCGTCCACACAGCTGAATTGACCCAGTTTTAACGCTGTTGAATGTTCTCGACCTCAGGCATTGGTCCATGAGTCGACTTCCCTACTTCAACAAATCTTCGATCCGTTCGTTCGACTTCCTTGCATTTCCCGAAGTTCCATGGCGCTCACCCGTGACCCAATGCTTAGCGCCTCAAGTCAATACAGTAGTCACGGTCGCAGCCATCACAGCTCCCTTTACAAGCACGACGATATCCAGTTATTCCATGGCATACCCCAATGACCCTGTACTTCCTCGGAGACAAGGAATAGTGTTGACGAACTTATTGACTTTGAACCAACGCTCTTACAAGTTCCTCTTCCTCTCTATTTCTGCCTTGGCTACATCATGTGCGGGAACGCCCCAACTCAACCCGGTCTGCTTCCTGTAAGCATTTCAGTCTCCACATACGGTGTTTTCTCATTCATCCTGTAGCTCATCATACTCAGCACGGAGATGAATCAGTATTTGAACGACCTCGGCGATTCCCCTCCAAAGACATTCTCCAGGCGCTAAGTACACTCGGTCCGCACCAAATAATTCCTTCATTGATTTCTTGCACAATACAACACGGCTGTCCCCTGATGCAGCGTCAGTCACGCGAGAAGATGCAGAGAATAGTTTCTTCGGAGTACCTCCTAGCCCGAAGCTGGTATCCGACCCTCCTTCACTACAGCTCACGGATACGTACGCTACCAATTCATCACATAGCCTGGATGCTAGCTTCGATCTTGCTCTCCCTGAAGATGGCCAGTGGTCCCTATCGCCTACCATTGAGACAGAGAGCATATCCCCCGAGAGTCTTTCTCCTTCAGGCAGCGCGGGTACGATTGATCTCTCGCTGCTTGGTGGTAGTGAACCCCCTCCTAAACCTCCCTTGCCTCCATGAAGAAGCACTCAAAACTTGAAGAAACTACCAGCAGGCCCCATCATATACGTGCGCAGACCTCCAGGGGTGTCTGTTTTGCAGGAAGCCCCAGCGCTCTCCGTCTGGCAAGTTACGAGGAAACGTTCAGATCAAATATCGCACCAGTGAATCGGCCTCTGTTACTGATGAAGGCAACGCGACTAGGTTAGCGAGACAGTTGGACGACGGGGAGGCTAAGGATGACGCGGGGTGGACTGCTGAAGCTGTTTCTGCTCCACCTGCACAAGCTGGGGCGCAGCCAAGTCTCAAGTTGCGGATTCGTCGATCGGGCACCCGTGCGGGCTCTAATGGGTCGTTTGCACCGTCGAAACGTACTGCTGGCGAGGAGGATGAGGGTTGTGCCAGTGTCGACGATACCAGTGGTCTCGGCCAAGATGGTCGTGGTTCCATAAGTGACACTCTCATTGATACCCCAGTAGTAGGATGCGGGTTCGGTGGTGGTCAGGACTGAAATAAGAAATTACGCTCAGTCCAGATTGATCTCTAAGCTGCAGCAACTTACGTGTATGCAACGGCACCGGTGTACTTGGTAGCGTCAGTTCCACCAAAGCTGAGCTCTCCGTTGGTGTCTGACTCCGAAGTGGTGGGCTCAAAAGAGAGGCTGACGATTATCTGAGAAATGATGCCTTGGCTGTACAGGCTGTCAGTGACAGTTGGGATTGTCGCGGTGGATGATTCTCCCTCTGTCAAGTCTAGGGGCCCGATGCCAATGACACCGACGACAGAGTCCGTTGAAGTAGAAATAACACCAATCGGCTGCTGGATGATGGTGAGATTACCGAGAGTGACGGTGTCGGTGTACTCGGTTCCTAGAGATAATTGTAGTTATTCTCAACTTATGATATCATTGTATGTCATACCAGAACCGTAGTCTGGGTCTGATATGGGCTTTCTAGTGTCAACGCTGGTTCTGGTCTTCACGTACGAGGTGGCACTAACCCATGTGAGCGAGCTACCGGTGTCGACAATCAAGTTGTCTGCAATAATACATTAGTAGCTGCATGTTTTGTCATTGCTGAACCTACAGATTGTGGCGGGGCTGCCAATACCAAGTGCTGCGGTGTAGCATACAGCATCGTTCATCGCAATAGTGCTGCCAGTACGACGGCTGAGAGTGTCTCTGCCAACAGTTTTGAGAGCGGTCGCGCGAGATTGGTCGTGCTGTAAGAGGTTTATGGTACCACCAGAGGTGTTTAGCCTCCAGGCGACGGAGAGGGTGATGGGGGAGTCGTGGATTTCAACAGGCGACGCCACGATGGACAAGGCTAGGAGGAGAATCGTCAACAGGGATGCAGCTGGGAACATGATTGAACGGTACCGAAAGGTAGTGATCATGAAGCCTGTTATATATGCTGATAAAGATGAGAACACTGCAAGTACATGGTTAATCTCATTCTCAGAATGCTGAACTGTATGGAACGCGCCTTATCAAGTGAAGAAACCGAAAACAGGAATAACTAAACAATTGACTCGTTGTGCGCACAGCTTGGATCAAAACCAACATAGCAGGACAGGTAGCCTGTTTTTTGACGTGAGTAACAGGAACGGCATCCATGAGGATGCACTGTTCCGCCAGTTTATTCATGGACCAATAGCTAGGGAGTGCTTACCATACATGGTGAAACTCGTGGATGATTTGCACAAGGGACTCGCTGACTCGGGCCCGAGGATGCGCTGTTCTACTAATTTTATAGTCAGGGAGTGTTTATCTCACATGGTGAAGCTCGCGCATGACGAGTCCACCTTCCGACAGCGACACATCAAAGGATTGGTGAGCCACAGACTCGGATGCTCATACCATCAGTACAGGAGCGCCCCAAGTTATTTCGGCCAACTCAACTTGTGGGCCATTGCAGTTTCCACACACGGTATCTTGTCCAAATTGTAGGTATTCACATCATACTAGTTCATTCGGTTGAGACTCTATTGGCAGAATTGTACTCATTTAGTACGTCGAAGAATATAAAATCTAGGAGCCTGCGTGAGCTTGAGCCAAACACTCGCCTCGATATCACACACCTATGTTTAATGTCGCACAGCGATGTCCCAAAACTTCCTCACCAAGTCCGAACTGAGGCAATCTAGATTCCAAATTCCGACTCAACTAAATATGTTAGCCTTTTCTGATCTCAGATCCGTGCCATTTCTCACGCTTTTGATCGGGTAATGGTGAGGCATCTTAGACTTACATATGGTATTGTTCATGAACTTCCCGCGGCCCATCGTTCCCTAAAGTGAACTTGAAGTCTAGACAATGCTTGGTCCAGGTCATCATCAGACATGCCCTATCACTGCGCGACACTTCTGACCAATCCTGTACCACTGTCAATGATGCTAATCTCATGACATGTTTTCTCATTCATTACTTCCTTGTAGCACCTGTGATTTGCCTAGGCCGGTGACCCTGCAATTGCTGCCAGTGCACATGCGGCATAATGAAGTATATTTCATTAATCGATACTCATACTCATTCTTGACACGCACTTGGTCAAATATCCCTAGTACTTGTCGTGGTCCAGCATCTGCAGCTCCCTCTGAAGTTTTAGATGATCACAACGATATGAAGTTAGTTTATGGTATACCCCGATGATTCTCTACTTCCTCAGAGACAAAGAATGGCATTGAAAAAATCAGTGACCATCAATTAATGCTCTTCTAATTCCCTCTTCGTCATCAACCGTTCTTGTACCCCATCTAACATTCGCTTTGTGATGAGAATCATTCTAGAGCTCCTACGCTACCCTTCGATATCAAGTGCCGCACGGCCCTGGCTCGCACATTAATCCTATTCATCTTTACCTTTGTCACAGCCTTTTCATCATAACGCACAAGCTCCTGTATGACCTTGAGCTTCAACGTCTGTCATGACTCATGAATCATGATCGGCAATGAAGTGACATCTCATTGGTTCTATCGGAGAGAGATCCATGAGCTAGCCTTCGAGACCAATGTCACAGTAGACGAACAGATTCAAGCTGCTTGGTACATTCCATGTGCATGTTCGTACACCTTCCTAATATTAATTATCAACAGCAATGCTTGCTCATTTCGACAGGCTCTCGAACTCCAACTGATTGGACCATGAGCAAGACTAGGCCAGTCGATCATTTTTAGATAAGTTCAAACTTGCCATATGGCTGGAACAGGACGAAAATTTGTCCAAACACAACTATACTGATTGGCTCCGAGCTAGTACCGGTATTGCATGATCAACCATAATACCTCATAATACCAAAGTATAAGGAGAGGCATGACGCATTGTTGCAACATGCCACTCAAGGTACAGGCTCAGGAGGGGGTGTGTATGAGTGTATTGGTGGCGTTACATAGCACAGGATGGCATGACACAGGCTGCAAATGATCAAGCGCTACAGGCAAGAACTAGAATATTGTTTGGATTTTTGTTGTCACAAGTTAGATGTGCAGGAGATAGATACATGGCGGTTTAGACAGGCCGTACATAGAAAATCGTTTTCTCTATATGCCATGGACAAGACCAATTCTGGAAACCATGACCATCTGCAGCTATCAAGACTCTTCATCTGAACCATTCATTCCATGCCCCTCTTCATCTTGATCACTGTCCTACTCAATCTCCTTGATGTGGCTGTATGCTGCATGCAATCAGTACAAAGATATGCTCTAAAATTGCTTCATGTGGAGGCACGCACTGTTTATTAGTGTAATGAAAGAGTTAGTATCCGTGATGTATCACAAAAGATAAGATCACATACCATGTGAGGATGCTACATGGCCGAGTCCATGGTACTTGGCCGGGGTCCTATAAAGATGGCATAAAAAAGTGGCTGGTCAAGAGGGTCAATGAAAGGTAACAAGTCCAACAGAGAAAATCACACACTGCCCGAGAACGGGACATGGCCATGGCACGGTCAGCATGGCCTAAGAAGGTTAAAAGACCACATCACGCACATACTGAGAGTGGGACATGGCCATGGCACGGTCAGCATCGGCTAAGAAGGTCGAAAGACCAGATCACGCACCGACTGAGAACGGGACCTGGTCGTGGCATGGTGTAGAGACTGATATCTCTGTGGCCTTGCAGAGGCTACATATGCGACCTGTCTCAGAGTACAGTTTGATGCACAACTTGTGCCAATACTTTTCCAATCATTCCCTATTCAAAGCGAAACTCTCCCGTGCCAAGCACGCACTACCTTCCCGCACATCGGCCGCCCCAAGCGCAGCATTCTCGCGCACGCATTAGGCGCGCTTTCCCGCGCTCAAAGCGCCCTATGTTGCACGTCCATCCATTGTCCAAACTAACCTCACTGGTACATGTTCATATCATTTTCTCCATATCAGACCATATTCTATTTTAATGATTGCTCAATTCTCATGTCATGGACCCTTATTACATACAGTGGCTCAAAAAAGTGTCCCAATGTTTGTAGCTTTTCACGTAATTGCTATATCATGAGTCAAGACGTGGAAATATGACTAAGCTATAGGAAGATGTCGGAAAGGTCTGCTTCTCAGCTTCATTTCGGTTCCCTATACCGTGGGAAAATAATGACATTATGTGAAGATATGAGTATTTTAATTTGATGACTCATTGGGACACTTTTTTGACTTTGAGTTTAACTAATGTAATCTCTATAATTCTAGTACTGTGTGTGACCTCCTTCTGCCCCAATCACTTCTGCCACTCTTCTAGACATATTGTCTATCAATTTTGGGTATTCCTCTTTGGTGATTCCATCATACTCTGCTGTAACACTGTCTCATAGTTGGAATAACCCCTATGGTGAATCTTGATATGCTATAAGTAATTTCTTGAGTGATTCTCAGAGGTATTCAATAGGGTTGATGTCTTGGGTCTATGTTGAACATGATAGAATAGTAATATCATGGTCTGCAGGCTATTGGTGGCTGATTTAGAGGTATACTTAGGGTCATTGTCTTATCACAAAACAGTATCTTCTTCATTAACTTATAACTCCTGTATGCTTCTTAGCAGACATTCCTGTCAAATGAGTATTTACTACTCTGTATTCATCCTCCCCTTTGCTTCATAGAAAATTCCCATTCCATTTTATCTCATATAGTCCTATACCATCAAGTTTTCGTCTTGAAACTTAAGGTGTTTATTTAACTTTTCTTTATCTTAATGATTGTCCTATCTATTTTAATACAAATTCCTTGCCATATGATCTCATCCTATTGATTTTAACCATATCTAACTAGATAAACCTCTTTCGGCTATCAGCAGTCTAATATTTGTACTTGAAAGTAGCATCTTGTCTTTTCTTTTTATAGGTTGGAGACAGAAGAATCTGTTTTTCTTGATTATAGCTTTAAGATGGGCTGTCTTGAGAGTCTGTCTGGCTATTTGAGTAGAGATAGTCATAGCAATGATGGAAATAATCAATTTAGTCACTTTATTAACATCAGCAGCCTTTTAAATTAGAATATAGTGATTAAGAGATCTTAAGTCTTATAGAGCAACCTTCTAGATTGGCTACCAAATAACTTAAAGACCATAATATTACTATTCTATCATGTTCAACATAGACCCAAGACATCAACCCTATTGAATACCTCTGAGAATCACTCAAGAAATTACTTATAGCATATCAAGATTCACCATAGGGGTTATTCCAACTATGAGACAGTGTTACAGCAGAGTATGATGGAATCACCAAAGAGGAATACCCAAAATTGATAGACAATATGTCTAGAAGAGTGGCAGAAGTGATTGGGGCAGAAGGAGGTCACACACAGTACTAGAATTATAGAGATTACATTAGTTAAACTCAAAGTCAAAAAAGTGTCCCAATGAGTCATCAAATTAAAATACTCATATCTTCACATAATGTCATTATTTTCCCACGGTATAGGGAACCGAAATGAAGCTGAGAAGCAGACCTTTCCGACATCTTCCTATAGCTTAGTCATATTTCCACGTCTTGACTCATGATATAGCAATTACGTGAAAAGCTACAAACATTGGGACACTTTTTTGAGCCACTGTACCTTACCTACTCGCTTCGGCTCCGCTTCAGGGGCACATTTTTAGACATATATAAGCGCCTGTAGTTCATATTTTACATGATCGAATCATATAGAAGCTCCCTGCACCTCACTATCAGTGTAAAGCTCATGTGTCACATGCCATAGTCAGTATCTATTGGCAATAAGAACATCCTTAACGTCTATTACGAACCTCTGCTTGTAAACCCACCTTGCGCTTTTCCCACACTTCGCACCACTCAAGCGCTACTTTCCCACGCATCGGCCGCCCTAAGCGCTTCGTTCTCACGCTCGCACCTCTGGCGCTTTCCCGCACTCTACATCAGCCGAGGAACGGCACCCCTTTGCACCAACCCCTAGATCTCTGCTGCACTTGCTTCCCCTTTAGGGTTGAATGCACTTGTCACTACAAGCATAGCAGCTTAGGCAAGCAGACCCAACACATAGTTCAGAATACCACCATCTGAATAGTTGTTTCTACAACGGTCAGTGTTGCTCAAGGTCGAAAGACCACATCACGCACAGGCTGAGAACAGGACATGGCCATGGCACGGTCAGCGTGGCCTAACAAGGTCAAAAGATCAAGTACTTCCTGAGAGCAGGACATGGCCGTGGCATGGTCAGCGTCACCTGAGAAGGTCAAAAGACCAGATCATGCACCAACTGAGAGCGGGACATGGCCGTGGCACGGTCAGCGTCGCTTAAGAAGGCCAAAAGACCAGATCATGCACAGACTGAGAATGGGACATGGTCGTGGCATGGTCAGTGTTGGCTAAGAAGGTCGAAAGACCACATCACGCACAGACTGAGAACGGGACATGGTCGTGGCACGGTCAGTGTTGCCTAAGAAGGTTGAAAGACCACATCACGTACAGACTGAGAGCAGGAGGTACATTGTAATCTCAGCTCAAGATTGCCAGCGAAAAGCCAGGACGACATACAATTTGCTGGACATGAAAGTTGCAGAAAACAAGTGTTTCTGCGTCAGTCTTTGTGCTTGGAGTCAGTGTTAGAGCATCCTATTTTTGGCTTCATAAAGCTATGGGTGATCTGGAAGCATCGTTTGCATTCTCGACTTCTCATCATTAGGCATCACCAGGCCCTAGAAAATAAACACACTCACCATTCAGTCGAGCAAACAGTCCGCCCTCGATACTTATATTTCACAGATCTGGCACCAAGGTGATTCATGGCGCTGCAAAAATGACATCGGTAGTCAACTTCAATGAGTGATTGCATCTCCTGTTGAATGATAATCCCCATCACAATCTTTGTGCCTGGTTCAATGCTCGACCAATTGTCGCTTGTAAGTGGGGTCACTTTCTTGCCCTCATTGATGCACAAATCGTACTTTTCTTCTTCTATATATTGTCCTTGAATTTGAGCTTCGATTGCATCGCGTTCAAACAGAACTCGAAGCATGTGATTGAGTTGCTAAAGATAATTTGATGAGTAAGCTTCCACAAGAACAATTTTTAGGCCAGCGAGTGGACCTGATATGAGGTGCACCAGTTCACAGATATTGCTTGGTGGCAGCCTGTTGCGTCTACCAGTGTCACGCAGCCAGGCACAACACTTCTGGGTAAAGGTGATACAGATAGTGTTGCGAAGGACTGTTGGATGTTCTGAAGACCCTCTTCCTGCCTCCATGAAATTATAAGCAGTTCGCGTGTTTCATGTTGACTTTGCATTTGGGACGACCACTGATCATAGAGTACTAGTCAGCAAATGCAAGCATCTCCAGGGGGTAGAACGCAACTAAAGACTCGATCAGATAATTGTTGATTTCAGCTGAGCATCCGATGATATCTTGTGCGACAGATGGGTACATGAGATGACGTTTTTGCAACTTTTTCAGGAGGACCAAGGTGTCTTCCAGCTTTCTGTGTATGACTCAGTGTCAGCAAAATTCAAGCACACATTCATAAGGTATTCACCTAGCTAAGTTGTCTCTCCGAGAACGTTCAAGAGGATCCAGGGCAGGTGAGGCGTTGCACAAATGGCAGGATAGTCAATAGAGTCGCAATGTCAAGTGGTCCAAGGCCGCCTTGTTCTGATTGGATCTCTGTGATAGCCCTTGAGATCCAGAAACATCTCAGCATTCGATAATGACTCACATTTATAACTTGAAGGATTCCCAGCAATCCGCCAATAGCTGTGTTCATCGGAGCACCGACAAGTGAAATTACATCAGTAAAAGCCTGTATTAAGGGCAAAGCCACCTGAGCAATGTCAGAAGCTTCGCGGGCAGGGGATGCACCCCAAGGGTACGCAGTGAAAGGAGAGCTGGGAGGGAAATTTTCGACACCTGGTTTACTGCCTGCAATAATGGGATGCATTGGCGAAGAATTTGAAGAGAGCATTGATGCAGGAACAAAATTGGAGAGGTCTGCAGGGATAGAGGTATTGCCCTCATGGCCGGCAGTTGTCGAGTTGCATTGTGTGCATCCTTGGTTTTCAGGGCGCTTCAAATGGATCGCAACGATCTTTCTGAAACCCTGGATTAACTTGAATGGAAAGGGCATCTCGATTAGATGGCAAGGACAGAGGATAAGTGATTGTTTTTTTGCGTCTAAGATTCAGCTAGGGGAAACTAGAGGATAGGTGAGAGGATATGTAGGAGAGCGAAGGGAGGAGGACAGGAAGGCGATTGAAGTACTTAACCATCAGGAAATCAGAGAGAAGAAAGTTCGCATGGAAACCTAGCATCAAATCAGCGCTCAGCGGCCGTGACTCACAGGTGCGTGACTTTTTTAATGTTTGTTGACGCTATGTAGTACCGTCTTAACCAACAAAGTTGCCCAATGCCAATGATTCTTGAACTTCACGATTGGTAAGCAATTTGCAATGGCCAATTCTAGTAATTGTACATTCTGTTGGAGAGCCGGTCCAGGGTATCATGCGGTACGTTGGAGAATTGTGTTTGGAAGAATCCGCATTGGGATATTGGTGCCCATTAACATAGTCATTTGGACATTTGGCGGTAGACTGTGTACAGCTTACGTAAGTGGTTGAACAGGTGCACATTGACTTACAATCTCAGCAGACTTCCCACAATTTGTATTCCTTCAATTCTCCCAGTCAACGAATTCAACACAAAGTCTCCCAACTTGGGTGAAGTCTAGACCTTTCAAATAATCTGCACTAGCACACACCCGTTCTGCCTTCAGCACAGGTCGCAAAAAAAGAGTGCTTCGTGCTCTTTTTAAGCTCCCTGGCCTCAGCTTCATCCTAATAATTCTGAAGGCTCCTGATCAGCATTGGTCCTTTGGCCTCCTGGCCTCAGGCTGCATCCTAATAAATTGTACATTTTGAATAAGAGGGACATTTATGAGCAGCATTTTAGAAAATAACTAAAAGTACATAGTACATAAGATCAGTCAGTTCTACCTTCTTTGAGCAGGATTAAGTTGACAAAAGTAAAATTACAAATATGTAACACTATCATTGAATGTATTGATTTTTCCCTGCCTCCCATCTCCCATCTCCCATCTCCCATCTCCTGTCTCCTGTCTCCCGTCTCCCGTCTCCCGTCTCCCGTCTCCCGTCTCCTGTCTCCTGTCTCCTGTCTCCTGTCTCCTGTCTCCTGTCTCCCGTCTCCCGTCTCCCGTCTCCCGTCTCCCGTCTCCCGTCTCCCGTCTCCCGTCTCCCGTCTCCCGTCTCCCGTCTCCCGTCTCCCGTCTCCCGTCTCCCGTCTCCCGTCTCCCGTCTCCCGTCTCCCGTCTCCCGTCTCCCGTCTCCCATCTCCCGTCTCCCGTCTCCTGTCTCCCGTCTCCCATCTTCCCGATCTCTCTGTTTCCCATCTCCCGTCCTTCTGATCTCTCTGTTTCCCATCTTCCATCCTCCCGATCTCCCTGTTTCCCTGTTTCCCATTTTCCCATCCTCCCCATCTTCTGTTCTCCTATCTCCTCCCATTCTCCCTGTTTCCCATTCCCAATCTTCCTGTCTCCTCACTATCTCCTGTTCTCCAGTTGTCGAGTCTCTACTTTCTCTATTTTTTATTTATTTTTTCACAACCTTTTCTCATTCATTTCCTGTCACCACATATATTTGTTGTCCCCCTGTCTGCAAAATTATATCATGTTGTTCCATTTTCAATTTTATTATTTACTGTATGCATGTAACATAAACAATCTAAGAAGTAAAGTACAACGGTTTTCGGAAATGTTCGCGCGCTCGCGTGGCTTTCGCGTATTTCGCCAAAGGCCATGTGGTTTTCGCTTACCTCGCTTAACCTCGATTTGGCAGCTCGCGTGGTTTTGTCACGTGTTTTCGAACGCCAACTCAAATAGCATCGCCCTTTGGGAACTTAGCACGACCTTGGTAACTGTACGTGTACATGGCATTAAATAATGAAAAAATATGTGTTTGAGCAGGGCAAGGGAGATGTGTGATTAGATTTGAGTGTTTTTCCTACTGTAATTGTTATGGTAGTATACATAGAGCAAATAATGGAACAACATATAATACAATGACAGACAGGGGGAAAACAAATATGAGATAAAAGAGATTGGGAGATGAATGACAGAAGGTTATGAAAAAAAATAAAAAAGGGAGAAAAAGATCACTTAGAAACTCAAAAACTGGAAAATGGGAGGACAGGAAAATGGGAATGGGAAACTGGGAGAACCAGAGAACCAGAGGACGGGAGACGGGAGACGGGAGATGGGAGATGGGAGACGGGAGACAGGAGACAGGAGACAGGAGACAGGAGACAGGAGACAGGAGACAGGAGACAGGAGACAGGAGACAGGAGACAGGAGACAGGAGACAGGAGACAGGAGACAGGAGACAGGAGACAGGAGACAGGAGACAGGAGACAGGAGATGGGAGACAGGAGATGGGAGACAGGAGACAGGATTAGCATGGGTATACCCCAGGGTAACACTTTTTCCAATCACATATATTACCATTTGAAGGCAAATGTACAACTTCAAAATTTTATACTTATCCATCCCTCCTATGGTAATCAATTTGGGCATATATTCCCAGGGGTACAGGGGTCTTCAGATCCAAACCCCTACCCCTACCCTCAAGGGTTTCCCATACCCCTGCTGATCCCTAGATGGGAGGCAGGGAAAAATGGGAAAATAAATACATTCAATGATACTGTTACATATTTTGTAATTTTATGTTGTGTAGTAGATTGTATTTTTACATTGGTCAAAATCCTGCTCAAAGAACATGGCACTGACTGATCTTATGTACTATGTACTTTATGTGGTGTGATAGATTGTACTTTGAGTTTTTTTGGAAAGCTGCTCATAAATATATTTTAAAATAATTCAAAATGCACAATTTATTAGGATGCAGCCTGAGGCCAGGAAGCCAAAGGAGGGCGTAGCCCTCCTTGGCTTCCTGTGACGAAGGAACAACACTCATTTTCCTCCCCTGAAGGAGCGCGTAGCGCTCCTTCAATTTGTGCCGAAGGCACAACGGGCGTGAGCTCGTTACATTACAATAAGGAAAATACTTGTATTGCGTAGTGCGCTGCTCTAATGGGCAAGTGAGTCGGCGCTCGAAAGCCACGCGAGAAAACCACGCGAGATTTCCAAAAACAGGTTTAAGCAAGCTTAGCGAAATACGCGAAAGCCACGCGAGCGCCCGAGCGTTTCCAAAACCGTCGTACTTTACTTCTTAGACTAGTCCACACCCATTCTGCCTTCGGCACAGGTCGCAAAAAAAGAGCGCTTCGCGCTCTTTTTAAGCTCCCTGGCCTCAGCTTCATCCCAATAATTCAGAAGGCTCCTGATGGGCATTGTTCCTTCGTCACAGGAAGCCAAGGAGGGTTGCACCCTCTTTTGACTTCAGGCTGCATCCTAATAAATTGTACATTTTGGACACTTTTGAAATACATTTATGAGTAGCTTTTTTGAAAAAACTCAAAGTACAATCTATCACACCACATAAAAGTACATTTACAATATGTAAGGATGAAACATTTGATCCTGTGGAACCAATTTGCATGACTTTCCTGCCTGTGCTGGGCCTTCATACAGATTTGTTCACACACAGTCAGCTTTACACTGCACTATTGAGTGTGCAATGTCAAAGAGACATTCAGGCACTATTTCCTACAGAGGCCGAGGAGAAGACTATGGCAAACATAGTATACAGACACACAATGTTTGAAGGTGATTGGTACTCTTGTAGTACATAAGATCAGTCTGTTCCCTATGTTCTTTGAGCAGGATTTTGACAAATGTAAAAATACAAAATATGTAACAGTATCATTGAATGTATTTATTTTCCCATTTTTCCCTGCCTCCCATCTCCCACTGTGCCCCATGTCCTCCCGTTTCCCGTCTCCCGTCTCCCGTCTCCCATCTCCCGTCTCCTGTCTCCCGTCTCCCGTCTCCCGTCTCCCGTCTCCCGTCTCCCGTCTCCCGTCTCCCGTCTCCCGTCTCCCGTCTCCCGTCTCCCGTCTCCCGTCTCCCGTCTCCCGTCTCCCGTCTCCCATCTCCCGTCTCCCGTCTCCCGTCTCCCGTCTCCCGTCTCCCGTCTCCCGTCTCCCGTCTCCCGTCTCCCATCTCCCGTCTCCCATCTCCCAATCTTCCTGTTTCCCATTTTTCCATCCTCCCAACTCCTATTCTCCAGCTTTTGAGTCTCTACATTGTCTTTGTTTCCTTTTGATTGATTTATTCACAACCTTTTGACATTGATTTCCTGTCACCACATATATTTGTTGTCCCCCTGTCTGCAATATTGTATCATATGTTGTTCCATTTTAGTTTTATTATTTACTGCATGTATGTACCCTAAACAATTACAATAGGGAAAATCCTGCGTAGTGTGCTGCTCTAATGGGCAACGGCAATTCAGGTGCCGCTCGAAATATACATGAAAACCACGCGAGTTGCCAAAAAGATGTTTAAGCAAGGTAAGCGATGTAAGTGAAAACCACATGGCCCTACGCGGCGCAAGCGCAAACCACGCGAGCACGCAACTCCTCCCGAAAACCTTTCTCCCTTTCTTCTTAAGACGAGCTCACGCCCGTTGTGCCTTCGGCACAAATCGAAGGAGCGCTACGCGCTCCTTCAGGGGAGAAAAATGAGTGTTGTTCCTTCGTCACAGGAAGCCAAGGAGGGCTACGCCCTCCTTTGGCTTCCTGGCCTCAGGCTGCATCCTAATAAATTGTGCATTTTGAATGATTTTGAAATATATTTATGAGCAGCTTTTCAAAAAAACTCAAAGTACAATCTATCACACCACATAAAAGTACATAGTACTACATACAATCAGTCAGTGCTATGTTCTTTGAGCAGGATTTTGACCAATATAAAAATACAAAATATGTAACAGTATCATTGAATGTATTTGTTTTCCCATTTTTCCCTGCTTCCCATCTAGGGATCAGCAGGGGTATGGGAAACCCTTGAGGGTAGGGGTAGGGGTTTGGATCTGAAGACCCCTGTACCCCTGGGAATATACCTCCAAATTGATTACCATAGGAGTGATGGATCAGTATAAAATTTTGAAGTTGTACATGTGCCTTCAAATGGTAATATATGTGATTGGAAAAAATGTTACCATGGGGTATACCCATGCTAATCCC